AAATAAATAAATAATAAACAATAAACAAATAAATAAATAACCGAGCAGGTTCCCCCAAAGCGCCGTACAACACATCTCTCTGCCACCCCCAGAGCCCCGACAAGTTCCACTTCAAGTCCTGCAAGTTCAACATCCGCCGTTGTAACACACAAACGAACAAACAAACACACAAACAAACAAACAAACAAACAACACATATCTCTCTCCTGTCTCCCAGAGCCCCGACAAGTTCCACTTCAAGTCCTGCAAGTTCAACATCCGCCGTTGTAACACACAAACGAACAAACAAACACACAAACAAACAAACAAACAAACAACACATATCTCTCTCCTGTCTCCCAGAGCCCCGACAAGTTCCACTTCAAGTCCTGCAAGTTCAACATCCGCCGGTGTAAGGAGTCCACTGGCCGGGTGGTCATGTGGAGACAGATGAGGATCTTCAACAGCTTCACTCTAGAGGCCACCTTTAGCGGGACTGTCATGGACAAGTGAGTCGATGAATGAATGAATGAGTGAATGAATGAATGAATGAGTGAATGAATGAATGAAAGAATGAATGAATGAATGAATAGATGTGGAGACAGATGAGGATCTTCAACAGCTTTACTCTAGAGGCGACCTTTAGTGGGACTGTGATGGACAAGTGAATGAATGAATGAATGAATGAATGAATGAATGAATGAATGAATGAATGAATCAGTGAATGAATAAATGTGGAGACATAAGATTCTTCAACAAATTCACTCTAGAGGCGACCTTTAGTGGGACTGTGATGGACGAGTGAGTCAATGAATGAATGAATGAATGAATGAATTAAAGAATGAATGAATAAATGAATGTATGTGTGTGTGTGTGTGTGTGTGTGTGTGTGTGTGTGTGTGTGTGTGTGTCATGTGTGTGTGTAGTGTGTCATGTGTGTGTGTGTATGTGTGTGTGTCGTGTGTCATGTGTATAGTGTGTGTGTGTAGTGTGTCATGTGTGTGTAGTGTGTCATTTGTGTGTAGTGTGTCATGTGTGTGTGTTTGTGTGTGTCATGTGTGTGTGTTTGTGTGTGTCATGTGTGTAGTGTGTCATGTGTGTGTTTGTGTGTGTCATGTGTGTGCAGTGTGTCATGTGTGTGTGTGTGTATGTGTCATGTGTGTGTGTGTGTAGTGTGTCATGTTTATAGTGTGTGTCATGTGTGTGTAGTGTGCCATGTGTGTGTAGTGTGTCATGTGTGTGTGTGTGTGTGTGTGTGCCATGTGTGTGTAATGTGTCATGTGTGTGTAGTGTGTCAGTGTGTGTAGTGTGTCATGTGAGTGTAGTGTGTCATGTGTGTTTGTGTGTGTCATGTGTGTGTAGTGTGTCATGTGTGTTTGTGTGTGTCATGTGTGTGTAGTGTGTCATGTGTGTGTGTGTGTGTGTGTGTGTGTGTGTCTGTCTGTCTGTCATGTGTGTGTGTGTGTGTGTGTGTGTCTGTCTGTCATGTGTGTGTGTGTCATGTGTGTGTGTCATGTGTGTATGTAGTGTGTCATGTGTGTATGTAATGTGTCGTGTGTGTGTGTGTAGTGTGTCATGTGTGTGTGTGTGTGTGTGTGTGTCATGTGTGTGTAGTGTGTCATGCATGTGTAGTGTGTCATGTGTGTGTAGTGTCATGTGTGTGTGTGTGTAGTGTGTCATGTGTGTGTAGTGTCATGTGTGTGTGTAGTGTGTCATGTGTGTGTGTAGTGTGTCATGCATGTGTAGTGTGTCATGTGTGTGTGTATCATGTGTTTGTGCATGTGTGTGTGTCATATGTGTGTGTGTGTAGTGCGTCATGCATGTGTAGTGTGTCATGTGTGTGTAGTGTCATGTGTGTGTGTGTGTGTGTGTAATATGTCATATGTGTGTATGTGTCATGTGTGTGTGTCATGTGTGTGTGTGTCATGTGTGTGTGTGCATGTGTGTGTGTGATGTGTGTTTGTGTGTGTGTATGTGTGTCATGTGTGTGTGTGTCATGTGTGTGTGTGTGTGTGTGTGTCATGTGTGTGTTGTATGTAACGTGTCATGTGTGTAGTGTGTCATGTGTGTGTTGTATGTCATGTGTGTAGAGTGTCATGTGTGTGTTGTATGTCATGTTTCACGTGTACAGTGTGCCATGTGTGTGTTGTATGCCATGTGTCATGTGTGTACTGTGTCACGTGTGTGTGTGTACTGTGTCATGTGTGTGTGTAGTGTGTCATGTGTGTGTTGTGTAGTGTGACGTGTGTCATGTGTGTGTGTGTGTGTACTGTGTCATGTGTGTGTTGTGTAGTGTGACGTGTGTCATGTGTGTGTTGTGTAGTGTGACGTGTGTCATGTGTGTGTGTGTGTGTACTGTGTCATGTGTGTGGGTGTGTGTGTGTGTAGTGTGTCATGTGTGTGTGTGTGTGTAATGTGTCATGTGTGTGTTGTGTAGTGTGACGTGAGTCATGTGTGTGTTGTGTAGTGTGACGTGTGTCATGTGTGTGTTGTATATGTGTGTGACACAGGGACAAGTGCCGCCACTTCAACATCCTAGACTTTATGGAGATGGGCAAAGTGTTGGCCCAGGCGGTGTTGGACTATCACAGGCTGCAGGAGGATCAGACGTGAGTCACATCTGATTTGTCGTCGTCGTTGTTGTCGTCGTCATCATCATCATCATCATCATCGTCATCATCATCATCATCATCATCATCATCATCATCATCATCGTTATTGCCGTCATTATTTTCATCATCATCATCATCGTCATCGTCATTATTATCGTCATTATTATCATCATCATCATCATCATCATCATCATCATTATTATTATTTTCATCATCATTATTATCATCATCATTATTATCATTATAGGTAGTAGTTGTAGCAGCAGTAGAAGTAATAGCAATAGCAGTCGTATCATTCTCTTTTTATCATCATCATCATCATCATCATCATCATCATCATCATCATCATCATCATCATCATCGTCATAATTATCATCATCGTCATCTTCATCATCATCATTATTATCACTATAAGTAGTAGTAGTTGTTGTAGCAGCAGTAGAAGTAGTAGCAATAGTAGTCGTATCATTGTCTTTTTATCGTCATCAACATCGTCATCGTCATCATCATCATCATCATTATTACATCTTTATTACATGTCTTATTACAAGCAATGTCGTGGCTAACCTGTGCCGTTCTCCCC